TCAATAAAATATATATTTAAAGTGTTGCGGACTTCCGCCAAGATGGAGGCATAGGTGGATATCTGTGCCTTCTCACACAACCAAGTTTAGAGACAACTAAATATTAGCAACAGAAAACACAGCCAGAACACAGAAAATTGAACTTTTCGGAAATCTGTTAACAACAAATTCTTCAGCCTGACTGGTAAGGGGCGAAACCAGCAGCTGGTGGAGCGGGGTTGCACAGGAAAACTTGGTCAGACGGACTCAGGCGTGCGGAATCCAGGCGCTCAGAATCCAGGCGCAGGGTTGGACCTAGTGAGCTACCAAGCGAGCGACCAAACGAGTGACTGCGGGGAAACAGCGAGAGAGCAGGGCTACGGGTTGACTGTGGTTGCGCATTTGTGCGCGGATAGACAAGCGAGGGAGTGGGCGATTGGACCGGGACCCAGCGGGTCCCCGTGGCAAGCAGCAGTGGAGGGCGCCACCATTTCCCTGCTCTGACCCCACCTCCACATACAGCATCATAACCCAGCGACTCTGAGTGGCCCGGCCCTGGTGAACCACCTAGGGCTCTGCTCCTCACCCAGAGGCGCGAAACAGCAGAGGGGACCGCCATTTCCCCCGCTCTGACCACGCCCCCATATACAGCGTCACAACCCAGTGACCTGGGAGTCCAAGGCACCGCTCCTCACACTTAAAGGGCGCGAACAGACCAAAAATGGCTCAAGAAGATCTCAAACCCCAGAGCCTATAAATCTAAGTGATGAAGAAACAGCAAAACTCTCAGACACACAGTTTAAAACACTGGTGATCAGGATGCTCAAAGAACTGGTTGATTATACCCACAAATTAGACAAATATATGAAGGCGAAACTAATTGAAATGAATGGAATTGCACAGGAAACCAATAGCAATGAAACTGGGACTCAAATCAATGGAGTGGACCAGAAGAAAGCAAAAAATGGCCAAACAGAAAAGAGTCAAGAAGCAAGAATTCAAAGAAATGAGGAGAGTCTTAGGAACCTCCAGGACATCTTTAAACACTCCAACATCCGAATTATAGGGGTACCAGAAGGGGAAGAGGAACAGCCACCAGTGGAAAACTTATTTGAACAAATAATAAAGGAGAACTTCCCCAATCTGGCAAAGGCAATAGACTTCCAGGAAATCCAGGAAGCTCAGAGAGTACCAAAGAAGTTGGACCCAAGAAGGAACACACCAAGGCACATCATAATTACATTAGCCAAGATTAAAATGAAGGAGAGAATCCTAGAAGCAGCAAGAGCTAAGGGGACAGTCACCTACAAAGGAGTCCCCATCAGACTGTCAGCAGATTTCTCAAAAGAGACCTTACAGGCAAGAAGGGGCTGGAAAGAGGTATTTCAAGTCATGAAATCCAAAGACCTACAACCAAGATTGCTCTATCCAGCAAAACTTTCATTGAGAATGGAAGGACAGATAAAGTGCTTCTCAGATAAGATCAAATTCAAGGAGTTCATCATCACCAAGCCCTTATTATATGAAATATTAAAGGGACTTATCTAAGAAAAAGAAGTTAAAGAAACATGAACAGTGAAGGGACAACAAAGTCACAGTTATTAACAACCACACCTAAAACAAAAGCAAATTAAGAGGACAGCTAGATCAGGAGTGGAAACATAGAAATGAAGATCTCAAGGAGGGTTAGCAACAGGGGAGTGGGAGGAGGAGAAGGGGAGAGAAGGTACAGAAAATAAGTAGCATAGACAGTAGATAGAAAATAGATGGGGGGGCAAGAATAGCATGGGAAACATAGAATCTGAAGGACTTGAGACACATGGTCATAAACTAAAGGAGGGGTAATGGTGGGGACAGGGGGGTAGGGTGGAGGGGAATGAAGGGGGGAATAGAACAACTGTAACAGCATAATCAATAAAAAATTTTTTAAAAAAAAGAAAAGAAAAATAAATAAATAAAGTGTTGCTATTCGTGAAAAGATGGAAGTATAGATCAGAATAGAGAGTTCCAAAATAGACTCACGCATTTATGGCCAAGTGATTTTCAACAACGTTGCTAAGGCAACTCAGCTGGGGGGAAGAAAAGATCCAAATAATGTTGGATAACTATAAAACTTCTTTAGGGAAACACAGGAGAAAATCTTTTGCTGGAGTTAGGCAATGGTTTCTTATTTGGAACACTAAAAGTATGAAATAATTTTTAATGGATAAATTGGAATTCATCAAAACTTAAAACACTTGTTCTTCAGAAGATGCCATTAAGAAATAGAAGATATAAACTGGGAGAAAATATTTGCAATAGATGTATCAGTCAAATGACTTGTATATATAATGTGTCTAATATATATAAAGAACACTTAGTAGTGAATAATAATAAGATAAACTCCACTTTTAAATGGTCAAAAGATCTAAACAGATTTTCCATATGAAGATATAAAAGTGGCTGGTAAATACATAAAAAGATGCTCAATATCATTGGTTCCTACACACCCTTGTTTGGCTGAAATTACACAGACTCGCCACACTAAGTGTTGGAAAGAATGCGGAACAACTGGAATTCTCAAACACTGCTTGCGGGAATGTAAAAAGGTGCAATAACTTTAGAAAAACATTAGCAGTGCCTTAAAATGCTAAACATATATAACCATACAACCCACTCTTAGAAATTTATCCAAAAATAAACAAAAATATATATCCACACAAAGATTTGTATATGAAGTTTATTTGTCCAGACAGCCCAAACACAGAAATAACACAAATGACTATCATCCAATGAACAGATACACAGTGATCAAAACTATGAACAGTAAAATGACAACAAACTCATAACTATCAACAACTGAACCTAAAAAAAACTAAACTAAATAGAAACAAGCTAAGCAGACAACTAGAACAGGAAGAGAGTCACAGAAATGAAGATCACATGGAGGGTTATTAGCAGGGAAGGGAAGAGGGGAAATTGGGTAAAGGTACAGGAAATAAGAAGCATAATTGGTAGGTACAGACTATGGTATATGCCCCAAAAGGTACATTATCCAGCAATAAAAAGAAACTACAATATGCAATAACATGGATGAATATAGAATTCATTATGCTAAATGAAAGAAGCCAAGCAAAAAGAGTACACATTGCATGATTCCATTCTAATAAAATTCTGTAACATGCAGAGTAATTTATCACAGAAAGCAGATGATGGTTGCCTGGGAACAGGGGTGGAGGAAGGGATGAGTTGCAAAAGGACGAAAGAAGCTTTTTGGGGATGATGAGATGTTCACTATCTTGATTGTAGTGATGGCTATGTGGACATATACATTTGTCAAAAAATAATCAATTTATACATTCTAAATGCATGAAGTTTATTGTTCTTTAGTTTTGTGGGAGTTCTGTTTGTTTTTTAATAGAAAATGGAAGGGAGGGAGAAAGAGAGGGGGAGAAACATCAATTTGTGTTTGCCTGTTACACACCCCCAGCTGGGGTCCTGGCCCACAATCCACGCATGTGCCCTGAGTGGGAATCAAAACTGTGACCTTTGGTTTTCAGGCCAGCACCTAATCCACTCAGCCACACCAGCCAGGGATGTACTTTAATTTTAATTCAGCAAAGTTATACTATAAAAGTGGGAAATTTTTTTAAAGAAAAACTAAAGCTTCTTCTACTTACCTTCCAAACTTGCATTATAGTTGATGTTCTTTGGGGAAAGGCAAGCTACAGAAAAATAGTAGGCTATTAAGCTGGTCAAAACAAATATATCCACAGAGAAATATCAATTTTTACTCAGAAGAGCCCTGACAGTTATTGTTGGATTGTTATCCGGCAACAATTATGTTAGTGTACCATGGGCTGTAGATACCAAAGTGGAGGTTTTCTGGGACCTAAACATATTTCAAGGCTTCCTTCAGGGTAAAAACTGAGCAGAATTACTTGATATTATGTTAAAAAATTAAAAATGCATTTTTTAAATTAAGGGTAATATTGGGAGATATATGTGAGCTTTAAAGAAGTTGGTGATGTTTTCTTTCTTGCCCTGGCCTGTTGCTACATGATTTTCTCTTGGCGATGATACATGAAGCAATACATTCCATTTTGTGCACTTTTTGTCTGTGTGTTATACATCAGTTTTAAAAGTTTAAGATAAAAAATCTTTTGCCCAGGTTAGCCCAGATCCTTGGAATCATCTTTTCCTCCTTCTTCATACCTAACTGTGCTGACAGGATCACCGAGTCCTGTCCCTCTGTCTTCACAGTATTTCTCACATCTTTCTATTCTCATGGACACTTCTTCCCACAAGATCACGTTCTCATGGCTGAGATTAGCAGAGAAAGGAGCCAGCAGTCAGAGAAGAAAAGTGCTCTGTGGCATAGAGAAGTTAGGGTTGGAGACGGTTTCCTGGAGGTCACGCCTGCTCAGGGTCTTAAAAAGCTGGTCTCACAGTTTTTCAGCCATGACCTATCCCATGCTTGAATCTCTTTATCCCAGCTGCGATGTCACACCTTTATTCCCCTGAGTATAGTTGCAGAAACAACCATATAACTTAAACTTCATTTACCAATATTCTGCTTCAGGTGAGCCCATTCCCAGCTCTGGGCCTTTGCCCACTCTTGGTTTCCTGTCAGGAATGCCCCACCCAACTCTCCACATAAAGGGCCAGCGCAAGACTGGGGTTGGTATAGGACCCACAGAGTAGGGCCCAAGCAACAGGGCTCACTCAGGCTTGCATTCCACTCCGTTCCCTGCAGTGAGAGAGCAGGTGCAGATCCATCAGTTTTGATATGTAGAAACAGAAAAGTTAAAATCCTACATTCTTGCCCTGGCCAGCATGGCTCAGTTGGTTGGAAAGTAGTCCTGTACACCAAAAGGTTGCAAGTTCAATCCCCAGGCAAGGTACATATGAGGCAACTCATCCATGTTTCTCTTTCACATTGATTCCCCCCCCCCCCCCCACTCACTCACTCAAAGCAATGGAAAAATGTTCTCTGGTGAGGAAAAAAAATTCCTACATTCTTTCAATTAGCTTTTCCTGGAAATTGTAACAAGTCAAAAACTCCATTTTCAATGGGCAGTTGTATGAGGAACCTTGAAAAGAATGCCAATACTTAACACAAAGATTATGAAAGAACTATGCACTGAGCTAGTGATCATGTTTTGTTGGATCAAAGTAAATATAGAGAGTATTTGCCAGACTTTACCTGGAAGATGCTAGAAATATAAAAAATAACCAGGTTGGAATGAAGTTTCCTTCTTGCCATATGTATAATTATTCTATTGCTTATTATCTGAAAATTGTGTACTGGAGGTTTGTTTGTGAGAATTTCTCTTGCACCATCCTGAGAAGGGTTTTTTACTAACATCTATGTTCTATAACCCTCAATCTTAAGTCTAAGCTTCCATTGACTCTTAAAAACTTACTGTATTTACATTTACTGATATGTATTATAAGAAAATTAATTTGTTAGAATAAGTCTGTTGCAAGAAATTGAATTTATTCACTACTTATAGTGTAAGCCATGATGACCTCATTTTTTATTTTGTAACTTCACTGCAGCTTATGGAGTATATTTTCCTGTGCTAGAGGACATCAGTACTGTGTGTCTTGGTTTTCTCCCCACAAGCCTGTTCTTAATAAACATCTAACAAATGCACTTCCAGAAAGATTTGGGATTTGACATTTTCTCTCTCAGGGACTGAAGAGAAGTGCCCTCAGAAGGAGAAGATCCAGCAGGGAACAAATAAAGAGGGTGTAACTCTCCAGGAGAAGGAGGTCTGGGCCCCAAGGAAAAGAGGGTGTGGCCTCCAAGGAGAAGGGGTGTGGCACCCAAGGAGAAAAAATGGTGTCCTCCAAGGAAAAGGAGATACCACTGTGAATGTTTGACTCACAAGACCCTGTCATACCCTTACTCGAAATTCTTCAATGCCTGTTTCCCAAAGGTCAAGTCTAATTTCCTGGTAGGAAACATGTTCTTCCTGAGACTCCCCTTCTCACTACTTCTCTCCTAACCCTCACTCCTACCCCTACCGCACCATGTGCGAAACTGCTGGATTTCTGGTGTGAAGACTGTAGTATGCTCTCTTACCTCCACTGTGGGTTCTCCTAAATCCCAGCATTAAATCCTACTCCCACCTCTGAACTATTTCTTTCCTGTTCTTCCTTCAAAAATCAGACCAAGCATCACCTATATGTCTTCTGCCAAATTAAATAGAATCAGAGTCAAGAAGCAACTTTGTTAATAGTATAAAACAACTTTGTCTTATGTGTACTGTTATTTTCTGTTTTAAAATACCCACATATGATACCCTCGCTGGTATGGCTCAGTGGATTGAGTACTGGACTGGTTTGTGAGCCAAAGGGTCACTGGTTCAATTCCTGATCAGGGCATATGTGTGGGTTGTGGGCCTGGTCCCTAGTGGGGGCTGTGTAAGAGGCAACCACACATTGATGTTTCTCTCCCTTTCTCCCACCCTTCCCCTCTGTCTAAAAATAAATAAATAAAATCTTAAAAAAATAAAATAGCCATGAGATTTTTACTATTTTTCCTGTATTTTTTAAATTTTGAGCCTCCCAGCCGGTAAACTGCCAATGGGTTATAAATATGGATCCCTCAGACTGAAGCCCCAAGTTGAACTACCTCCAGCTGAAATCAGCTTCTTCAGTTTAACCAGTTTACTTCCATTTACCATTTTCTAAGTGAGCCACAAAGTGAAAATCTTGAGAACTGCTGTGTCAGTGTTTTGCTCTGTACTGTGTCTTGCTTCAGGACATGTGGTAAATCCCATCTACTTAAAGACTTGATATATGCTTTTGATTTAGGTTAGTTTGATCTAATTTCTTTTTCTTTCATTAGTCTAAAATACCACTTTATTGTTGTTAAACTCAGACAAGTTTCAAAATTGTAAGAAATATAGAGTAGTATGTATCATTAGTTTAGTCCATTCTTGAAACAGTTTATATAAACACGATTATCATCTGCCCTTCAGGACACCCCAGTGATGAGGGAGGGAGGGAGGGCAATAGGAAAAGTGGGAGGAATAAAGAGGAAATGAGGCCCCTAGGTGGTTTGTCTAGGGTAAAATGTATTCACTGTGGGCATACCCAAAGAAAAGGTGACTCTCTAGGGCAGGTGGACATAGAAAGGGGCGCAGTTGAAGAGGGTGAGACTAAAGTCACCAAGGGATGGGGTTGTGAGTTGGATGGAAGTGGGGCTGAGACAACTGAGGGTCGGAGGCACTCACAAGGCCACACTGTTCTCCACTATGCTGGGTTGCAGGTACTTGTAGGGCATGTCCAGCTTTGCATTGTGGATCTTGATCTCCTCACCCAGGGCGGCCAGCTCCTCCCTGAACTTGTTCAGCACACCTTTGTGCTCAGAGCCAGAAAAATACTCCTCCTTGCGCTGGCCCAGAGCCACCGGGGGATGGAAAAGAAATGGCAGCTGAGAGCCTAGGACCCCCACTGGGCTGCCACATCTCCCACAGCTGCCCCCTCCTTGGGGACCAGGCCACCTGGGTCTCACCATAACTTGCTGGCATCTGCCCAGTTGTCAAGTAAGGGACATCTGGAGAGAAGCCTGATGAAAGTTAGGCAGGGTTGCCATCACTGTCTCCATGGTCACATCCTTGGTGGTGGGTTGGGGCAGCCACATCATGCAGGGTCCATTAGGGACCCAAGCATACCAATCCAGCTAAGGAGGGACAGATATCTAAATCAATGTCTGCTAAGAATAAAAACTCCTTAGTCCCCTGCACACATCCCCCTCCCCCACTCCAGGTGCAAATGCCCATTGTCCCCCTATAATAAGTATCTGGCCCAGGTGGACTGAGGAGTGCTGGCCAGTGCAGGTAAAGATGCACATGGTGACAAAGTGGCAAAGCTGGTCCTGGCACTCCAAGGAGGTGGGAAACCCTGCAAGAGGTAAGGAGAGTTAGAAGCTGTGAGGCCAGGAATAGAAGCAAAACTCAGAGAGGCTGAGCAGGAATAAGAGAGGGAGAAAGGTTGTCAAGGACTCTCAGGAACTGTAAGAACTGACATGAGTGTGAGTTGAACTTGGGAAAAAGGGGAGATCTTCTGGGAGGGCCCCACTCAGTGGGGTACTGGTATGGCTCATACTGGCTCTCAAAGAGTCAGTTATGTTAAATATCCAGGTAGTTAACAAGCTGGTTGACATCAGAATGGTAGCTATAGTGGAAACATTTACACCATGGAAATGGGCAAATACCACAAATCAGGGCTTCCCCCCCCCCGCCCCAGGGAGCCAGTTGTTAAACATATATTAGCAACCACTGGTCCCACAGCATCTGGGACCTAGAGGGGTTCTTATTGCATAAGAAAGTGAAAAGACCTTTGGGCATTTTAATAAGGGTTGAACATTCTTCTGGGAGGTTTCATAGAAGTGGGGAGGTCTCTGGGGGATGTTCCAAGGAGGAATCTCTTACATTGGAGGTCTCAGTACAGGGGCTCAATTCACCTTGGTCCTGGGCCCCTTACAGGCCAACTTCAGTGATCTCTTGAAACCAGACCTGCAGTTCAAGATCCTGTTCCACTGCCTTGTCTGTTTTATAGTGAAGATTCACAATTCCTTCCACATAGCTGCTGGCCAAGGGGTTGGACCAAAAGAACTGAAGCTGACAGTAAGCTTCTTTTTTGCCCTTTGCTCTTTGCCTACATAATCAGGTTAGGGCTCCCAGCCCCCCCAACACAGACCTCCTGTTCTCCCAAGCCTCTTCCTTCCTGCCCACCCCCACCAGCCCTGCCTTCCCCCTGCCTCACTGAGAGATGATTTCCCAGAGCCTCAGAGCATCATGGGCATAGAAGGAAGACTTGACTCCCAAAAGCCCCCAATCAGCCAGGTCATAATGATGACATAAGGAGGACATAATGATCTATAGGTTATTAAGGGTCCAGCTCGCCTAAGCAGCTCCACATGGCCTCCCCCACCAGTGCTTTACCACCTGAGAAGCAAGGATGGGCAGGATCAGGCAGGTCCACCTGCCACAGGCCAGAGCCAGAGGGAGCATAAGCTCCAGATTTTCCCTTCTCTCTTCATACCTGATCAAAAACACCCATGTTAGAGATCAGCCCAGTCCTTACCCATACATTAATTTCCATGGTGTATCACAGGTGGGGGATTATCAGCTGGAAGGAGAGAGCAGGGAAGGGCAAAATCAGAAGAGAGCTGTGACAAGTCCCTGCAGGAAACTGGAGGAGTTGAAGGGCAGAAAAGATACCGGGCCCCCAGGCAAAGCAGAAACATGAAGTTCAGTGGTCCCTTGACACAAAGAGTGTTTAGTTGGTTTGTAATTCATTCTACAAACCATTGACTTATTGCTTTCTGATAACTGAAAGAAATCATTCTTTCCTTTTGTGTGTGTGTGTGTGTGTGTGTGTGTGTGTGTGTGTGTGTGTGTATGTACTGTTCCTGGAAGTACTGCAAAACTGTGTCAATTGTGGAGTAGTCTGAGCGAGCCCCTATTCAGTCTCCCAGCTCCAAAAATCCATTTAAGATAATGTACTCAAATAAAGGATGTACCAGATATTAAACTGATAAGAACAGATACTATAGTTGATCTTAGCCAAAAGGCTGAGAATCCACCCTTTTCTTTTCATATAAGACTGTTAGAAATCTAGGTAAATGCTTTAAAACCTTTTTTCATTATCATTCCAATAAAGAGCTTTTTCAGCTTTTTCCTTTTCTTACCTCTCGTGAGATTTTACTGCTACAGATATACTATATCTGCTATGTACTGTGTGTGTGTGTGTGTGTGTGTGTGTATATATATATATATATATATATATATTTTTTTTTTTTTGCACTGGGCCCACTTTAGCTCCTTGAGGGGCATAATTGCCTTCACTGAGAATGCATGCTCTAACCTGCCTACCTTCTGAACTCCATCTCCTACCTTCTCCCTTTTGTACTGTTATACTCACCTTAGTACAGTTCTTCAAGTATGCCAAACTTGTTCCTGCCTTGAGACCTTTGCAGTTTTCTAAGCTGGTCTCTGCTTAGAACAATGTGCACCTTGATCATCTCAGGGCTGGGTCCCCATGGTCTCGTTCTCTGTGGCATCTCATCAAAGGAGCCTTTCCTGACCACCAATCTAAACTCGACATCACATCACTCTGCTTTGATTCCCTGCATTGTACTTATCACAGCTGATACGGCATAGTGTAATCTTTATTGCCTGTTAGCCCTCACTGAAAATGAAAATCCCCACAGATCAGGACCTTGCCTGTCTTGCTTATTAACACAGGCATCTAGAAGAGTTCTTGCCCTATTGGAGACACCCAAGAAAAATAGTTACGAGTGAATGAATACTTGGCTCAAATGCCTGTAAAACAATAACAACAACAACAACAAACAAACAAATAAAAAAACAGGCTACTGTTATTGACCTAAACCTATGTGTTACTATGTTTTAAAGATTTTTATTTATTTATTTTTAGGGAAAGGGGAAGGGAGGGAGAAAAAGAGGGGGAGAAACATTGATGTGTGAGAGATACATTGACTGGTTACCTCTCTCACACCCTCAACTGGGGACCAGGCTCATAACCCAGGTATGTGCCCTGACTAGGAATCAACTGGCAACCACTTGGTTTGCAGACCAACACTCAATCCACTGAGTCACACCAGCCAGTACTATGTGTTATGATTTTAGAACCAGTCAAAACTGGCTGGAAAAGTCTTTTATGTCAACTGGGACCCTTTTTTGGGGATGGAAACCTCTGTCATTGTACTGTTAATATACTGTATGCTCATCTATCTGCACTTTATAGTTAAAAAGAGTAAGATTTCTCACTTCCCTCCCCATACCCTCACCTTGCCAATGAATCATTTTCACTTCTCTGGAGGTAAAGTCACCCTGTTAAAGAGGTAGAGCAAGCCATGCTCCCTTGTCTTTCACTGATTGACTTTCCCCACACCCTGAGATTCCATAGAGAGGTTGCCTCCATAGGCAGGACTGTGCCATGGGGCAGAGGGCAGTAGGCAGGCAGGAGAGCAGGTGATAAGGTATTACCTTGAAGATAGGATGTATTGATAGAAGGTATCTCATGGTGCCACAGCAATAAGTTCAGCCATCAAATGTGCCCTCAGAAAATGAGATTGCAGTTGTTGAAGCTGGAAGTCAGAGCTATGGACCCAGCATTTGGCTAAGAGCCAGGCCATCAGGGGATCTGTGGGTAGAAAATGTGGTAGGAGGGGCAATTCCTCACTTGGCAATTGGAGCTGGAGCAAGGATAAGAGTGTGGGGGAAAGAGGGATGAGTGCCAGTTGCTCAGCACATTCCCCCTCCTTCATATATTTAACCCCTCTTTCTTCCCTGAGTTTACTTAGCTTTCTCCATCTCACTGCTGCTACTCCCAAAGCCACTATTCCTTCTCCTCCCTTTCCTACCTACTCAGTGCATTAACATTGTACAGGCTGCTCTGTCCCTGAACTTCTACAGAAACTCCTCTTCCACTGACTTCCTAGCCTCCACTTCCCCTTTCAGTCTCCTCAGTGTAAACAAGATTCAGACCCTCTGCTTCCTTTATGCTATACTTTTATTCAGAAAGTTCAGCATCTCTCTCGTCTTCCAGTACTGCCAGACTCAGCTAAGTCTCCAGTTCTCAGCTAGTCACTAGCTGGATGTGACAATTTGAATGTCTCCCCATTACCTCATAGTTGGCCAAACAAAAGCCTACCTGAGCATCTTTTTCTCTTTTTTGTCCTATTTCTGCAAGAGTCTTGCCTAACTCTACATTTTCTCTCTCCTTGAATCCAGGCCAGTTTAATTTTCTTTTGCATACCCATTCATCTTTCCTCTGCACCCCACAGCTATTTCCCACATCTGAGCCCAACATCTCTATCTTGAACAATTGATGTAGCATGTCACCCTAACCTCTGTATCTAACATCTCCCTTTTCTGATCTGTCCTAAACAAAATAACCCATAGAATGCACCCACAACATCTTTCTTAACAGCCTGCACCAGCTTCCTGTGTTTATACTCCTTGACTTGGCATCCATGGCCCTCTACAGTCTGGGCCCTCTCACCTCACATTATTCCCCACCACTCCAGCCCAACTGTCCCCTGGTAATCTAACTTCTCACACCTCAACCTCTCTGCCCAATCCATCTTCCCCTGCTAGAAGGTCCTGTCCCTCCCACAAAGTTCCCATGGCCCCTCCCAGACTGTCTACATACTCAGGAATTTCCTCAGCACTGGAGGGTATTTAGATTTTTCCAATCTGTCTCTCCAGCTAGAGTACCCCTTTCCTCCTTTGTCCATTTCCTCCTTTAATGTCATCTCCGGTGCTTGAGCATAGGTGACTGACTCCTCAGTGAATCTGGGTGAGGAGCTGAGCTGAGAGGCTGAGCTGAGCACGGGGAGCAGAAATTCTGGGTCCTCTCACCTGGATGACCATGGGCAAGAGTTTCCCATCAGGGTGCAGTTTCAGCATTGACCAGAGGGGCTGCCAGGTACTGCTGCTTACATAGGATGACATTAGCCTTGATCCCATCCAGCAGGGAGAAGTCAGCTTCAAACAGTGTGCCTCCCTGGATGGGGCAGAAGGCAAGGGTTACCAGCATAACACATCTTCCCACCTTGATTCCCCAAAAGAAGAGGAGAAAGAAGGAAACTAATTTATCTCCATCACCTACTTTCTACCAGGCAATGAGCCACATGCTGATTGCCTCACATAATTTTTAAACATACTTGAATTAGCTCCACTTTTATAAAAGAGGGAACAGATGAGAGAAAAAACAAAAAAGATAGGCATCTTGTCTGAAGTCACAGCACTTAAAACAGTGGAGCCAGGGTTCACACCCAAGTCTGTCTCACCCTATAATCCATGAATTTTATCTCCAAACTGATCCCCGTCCACTCTTAAGAACCCCACCCTTGACCTGGTTCTCTTACCCCACACCCCCTCAATTCCTGGCATCAAGGCCCAGTTATTTCTTTATTTTGACTATCTCTAGTACCCATCACACTCTTCCTGCACAGTATATGTTTCTCATTCAAGGAGAAATGCCAAATGGTTGCACATCTCCAGGATCACTCAAGATTACCCCTGTAGAATTCCCTCTTGCCCTCCCTTGGCAAGCTGGGCTCACAGTGGACCCCGAAGCAGCACAAGCACTGACTGCACTCCCTTTTCACTGTGTGGCCTCCTGTGGACTGTTATGTCAATACCTGGAGTTCCTTCTGCAGCTGGGTCTACAGCTCCTCCATCCCTAGAGGAAACATTAGGCAGGCGGGAAGGTGACTAGAGCACCTTACCAACCTGGGGTTGGCACCATTGAGAAACTGGTACACAAATAAGGCATCTTCCTTCCAGGAGTCCCGCACCTGAACTGGGTTGGAAGTTATGGAGCACGTTGTGAGATCGGAGCTCCTGGTTTTTCCAACTCCCACCAAACTATCCCCTCTTGACCCCAGCCTACCAGAGGGACCCAGACCTCATATCTCCAAGCTCTGGCTCCCTAGATGGGTGGTAAGGGTCCTGGGGAGAAGTACTGGGGTAGCCATACTGACCAGCCAGCTTGCTCTGGCCACATCAGAAAATCCTGTTGAGGTCATCCAGATCATTTCAGTTAACCAGAACATTTAAAAAGTCTTTGACAACTAGTTCGGCCAGCCTTCACGGAAAGATAAGCAAAGTGTTTGAGTTATTCTCAGAGTCAACATCACAACCATAAGCACCCACCTTGGGCTAGTCCAGCTTGGTGCAGTCCATAGGACTCCCTTGGCCTCCACTGGACCAGGACACCTCCTTCTCATCCAGTCACCCTTGTTCTCATCCCTTGGCCATTGAAGTCTCAAAGTCAATTCTTTTGTCCTCCAGAAATCTCTCATCTAGTGGGAGGTCAGATAAATTGGTTGTGAGCACATTCAGGATTAATCCTTCCTTTCACATACCCCATCTGTGATGCATAAATGAAATCAGGTATAGATTGGAGGAAGGGCCAGGACTCACTCTGAGGTCAGGAGGAGTCGCAGGGTAGGGGTAAGGCTAACCAGTACAGCATCTTTCTGTCTTTCAGCTCCTCCTCCCTGTATTTCTTGAATCGGCCTTGAGGGTCCTCCACCAGTGTGTGACCTAGACATGGGGAGGAAGGGATGGACCATGAGGCTTCTTCTGAAAGCCTCTCCCCTGTGCCTACCAGGAGTGCCTTCTCAGACCATCCTTGGGGGGGAAAGGGTCTGACCCTACAGCTTCGGGCCCCTCCCCATGCTCCATGCTGCTATGTGCCAACTCCAGCAACTGCTTCTCCCAAAAGCCAAAAAGACCTGGCCGTCCTGTTTTTGCCCCAATGCCCTGATCCCTCTTCTCCTCTCCCCCACCCCCAGCTTCTCCTGTACCCCAGAGGCCTCACACCCCAACCTGTACTCACCAGTGCCCTCGGGTAGGCTCTGGACGCCATCGCCCACTACCCAGCGGTAAATACGAGAACCTGAACTCGTCCCCACTGGCCCCGGGGCCCTGCACAGCGATCCAGTTGCAGAACCAGTTGTCATCCTTTAAGAAGGGCCACTTGCGCATTTTCACGAACACTAGTGGCCCCAGGTAGTCCTTCACGTCTACCTCGAATTCCTTCTCCTGCTGGGGACAGAAGAGGTTCGGTCAGCATCCCTGACGATCACTGGAAGGGGGACTGGGACTGATCTCAGGGCCCGCCCACAGACCCACCCAGGCCTTTCTGCTGGGACTCTGGGAAGGCGGGGCAAAAAGGAGCCAAAGAGAGAAAGGGGGCCCAACGACCAGGGTCCAGTTCGTCCACTCGGGGTGAGGCGGAGGAGGGAAGATGCTCTCCTTCCTGCCCTTTTTCTTCTCTGTACTCATTGATTGTACCAAGCGCTGAGCTGGGCGGTGGTCACCCGCGACACACCCTAGGCGAGCGCGCAGTTGTGCCTCCAGATACACTGAGGACCAGGCAGTTTCAGCGGTGAGACCCCGGGGCCCCCACCACCACCTCCAAGGTTGAGTTCGATGGAGCCCCACCTGGCCTGGGGGCAGGCTTCCCGGAGGATATTCTGTATAAGCGGAGACCTCTAGGTGCGAAGGGTTTAGCCAGGGAAAGTGTGAGAGAGGAAAAGTTTGGTGAAATGCGTGTCTGGGAGAGGAAGTGAGAAAGCGGAGGCTGAGCGAGGGCGAGCAGCGACGTGGAGCGGAGCACAGAGCGTGTGTGGGATGAGCACAGCTAAATTGTGAGAAGTATCGAAGGTAAAGCCAAGGCTTTGGAGTTAGTCCTGAAAACAAGCGGAAGCCATTCTAATGTTTTAGGCGGGAGGGGTGTGTTAAGGATGGAAGATGTCTGGAAGAAGTTGTTCTAGATGCAAGAAGGGCTTGGAAGGGCAGGAGAGGAAGCGGCAAGGTGGGGGAAGGGGCCGAAGGAGGCGTAGGTTCAAGGGGACTCTGGTGGTCGGGGGTGGGTCGGACATCTGGAAATGGATGGGAGATGTCCAGGGTCCAGATTCTTGGTTGTCTAGGGGCTACCGGAGTGGGAGGCGCGAGTGACACCTAGGGGAGGCAGGGCAGAGGTGTGCGAGGTGGGGCAACGGGAGGACCTCGCTGAGGCGTGTTCCTTTGAGGCACCCGTGGGGCAGACGTGTGGGTCGGGGGAGTCGGAGAGAGCTAGATGGGCAATGGAAATTTGGGGATGGGAATTGCGGAAGAAAAAGTAACGGGAGCTGGGGTGAATACCAGGTGAATGTGACGCGAGAGAAGAAGCTCATCAGGAATTTCAGCTCTTAGCTTCTCGCCGACCCCCTCCTTAATTCCTTCACCCCACCCCACCCCGGTGGTAAAGTCCGCAAGGTCGGAGATTTAGCAACAGCAGAGGAGGTTTGGAATAGCTTTTAAGAATAAAGGAATCAGAAGAAGCACAGACGCTCCAGGGCCCCTGAGTTTCAAAGAGAGAGAGAGCTCTGTGAACAACGGGTATGCGGGAGCGTCCTTCCCCTCCATTCCCAGGAAGCCGGGTGGCTGGAGCCTTTATTGAGCGCTTGTGGTGTGCCACACGGTTTCCAAGCGCTCTTAGCTCAGGGGACGCTTCCCCGCCCCCCCCCCCGCCCCCATCCCCGGTACCTGATGGCCTCTGGGCTGCGGGCCGGACTCCGGCCAGCTCACCTTGCCCTTTCGTCAGCCGCAGGCGCGTCCCGAGGGAGGCAGCCACAGCTGCACCTGGTTGTCGGAGCCCGAGTAGTTTGGGGACCCAGTGGACACACGGGCGCGTTAGGCACCCATCTTGTCCAAAGACGTTTCCTTTCCTGCCTTCTGAAAGGGGAGAAGAGTGGATGGGCCTAATAAAAGGGTTCAAGACCCCACCCTTTGAAACCTTGCTGGGGTGGGGGATGTGGATAGCAGGTCTCCAACCAAGCCTCCTGCCCACAAGCTCTGAAAGGAGGGGCCGTGGCCCGGGTACAAAGTGCAGATTCTTATCTTTGTGGGAGGAGGAGGGAGTGGGGAAGTAGAAGAGGATATGAGCAGAAAACATGCAGAAAGAAGGAACTGTCGCGTAACCCGGCAGGCAGGTGGGGTGCGCGTCTGTGTGCCAGCTTCACAGGTTGGTCCACCCCTGCCAACAGTCATGGCTGTAGGGGTGGATGAGGAGACAAGGAGGCCTGGTCTGCAGCAGTGTTTGAGGAAGGTACATTCAGGCCACCAAATTAACTTGGCCGAATTTGAACATCTGTCTATTCCGTGTAAGGATCCGGGGTTCATTCCTTTCTAGCTTTCAAACATGTCTGTCTGTTGCCTGCAGGATGAAAATCCAAACTTTTTGTCATTCAAAGCTCTTGCTAACCTGGCCTGCCCTCCTCCACGTCATTCCACTGTACCCCATTCTCATCTCTGGTCTCCCCACTTTGGGCTGGAGCCCTGTGCTTCCCAGAACCCACCACGTTGCTTGCTTGCAGTCCTTGCTCTTAGAAAATTCTATTCAGCCTTCTAAACCTGGGTTAGGCTCCAATTTTTTAGAGAATTCTTCCCTGGCCATTCTACCCCTCCCCACTGCCCTCAGCAGGACTAATAGCTTTCTTCCGTACCGCTCTCACACTGTGCATGCTTCTCTTGATAATATTGCATACTTAATACTACAGTAATTTGTTGGTATGCCCATACCCACACCAAGGAGAACTCTTCCAAGGCAGAGAACACATTTCCAGCACAAATTACTCACTTTTGTTTATCCTGGGTTTATCACAGCATCAGGCTTGTGAGTGTCAACCTTTGCTGAAACATACTGCACTGAAAGATCAGTTATAAGTAAGTCCTTCCCTTGGAGAAGACAAAGGTAAACAAAAAAAAACTCCCAGACAATGTAGATAAGAGAATAGTAAAACAAACTCTGGTACCACCATGGTATAGAGTACTACCAGCATGCTGAAACAAATTAAGTTGATGGAAAATGTCGGTAATTCCCATTTTCTTGCTTGATTTTTTTGGGGGGTTGTGGGTTTTGCGTGTGTGTATGTGGTGAAAGGGAAACACTTTCACTGGATTCAAAGGCCACAAAATACAAAATGGTATTCACTGGTGTCTCCCTCCCTCTTGGCCACAAGCTTCCCAGTTCCCAGTTCCTCCATCCCACAAGCTGTGTGTATTCACAAGCAAGTACATGCCTACCTTTTCTGTCCTTTTTGTGCACATGGTAGAATACTTTACGTATTGTTCCACACTTTGTTTTCTCCACATTGCAATACAAATCAGGAGGTCATTGTATACCCAGTACAGAGTTTTCTGTTATTAAGGTTGCCATTGAACATTTAGTTTGTTTGCAATCTTTCCTAACTATAAAAAAAAAATGTTGCTGAGCCCTGACTGGTGCAGCTCAGTTGGTTGGGTGTCATCCTGCAAAGAGAAAGGTTGTTGGTTTGATTCATGTTGGGGCCACATCCCTGGAATTCAGGTTCTGTCTCCAGTCAAGTGTGTGCAAGAGGCAACTGATTGAAACACATCAGTGTTTCTCTCCCTCTTTCTCCCTCCTCTCTCCTCTCTTTATGAAAATAAATCTTTTTTTTAATTTGCTGAAAAAATCATCTGTTATATATATCACTTTTTCATATGTAACTATAACTGTAGTACAAAATCCTAGAAATGGAACTTCTGGGCCAAAAGCATGAGTAACTTTGGCAGAAATTGCTTTAACTGCCCTCTGCAGAGGCTATACTGATTTACGCTCCCTCAGTGTGTTTGTTCACCAATGTATGAGCACACCCATTCTCTCTCATTCTTGGCAATAGTGTGCTAAAAAATGTTTCTACATTAGTCAATCTGATAGGTGAAAAACAGTACCTTAGTGGAATTTTAATTGCATCTCTTTTATCATGAGTAAGGTGAAGCATCTTTTTGTATTGTAGGAGCCATCTGTATGTCCTTTTCTGTGAACTAGCTATTCCACTTTCTATTGTATTTTTGTCTTTTTCTTATTTATTTGTAAGAACTATTTATATAGGAAAATGAGCCGTTCTCTGGCTATATCGTTACTAAAAGAGTCCCAGTAGCAATGATGGTCCTTTTTACCTACATCAACTCCTTAGAGCCAAAATTTTGGTCTATAATATTATTCTCCACAAAAAGAATTCTGGGCTCCTTAGAAGGTAGCTGGCACCATGTCTTGGGGCAGGTAAAAGTCTGGATAAGCCAGAAACATGCTGTTGTTGCTAAAATAGTAAGGTGGACTTCCGCCAAGATGGAGGTATAGGTGGATATGCCGTGCCTTCTCACACAACCAAGTTTAGGGACAACTAAATATTAGCATCAGAAAACACAACCAGAACACGGAAAACTGAACTTTTCGGAAGTCCGCTAACAACAAATTCTTCAGCCCAACCGGTAAGGAGCGAAACCAGCGTCTGGTGAGGAGTTGCAAAGGAGGGCTCAGTCGGACCCGGGCATGGAATCCAGACGCACGAATCCAGACGCACGGGTTCCAAACGCAGGATTGGACCTAGTGAACGACCGAGCAACCCACCGGGTGAGCGACTGCAGAGGAGACAGTGGGGAGGCGGTGCAGCGTGTTGACTGCGGTTGCCTAATTGCGCGCGAGCGAGGGAGTGGGCGGTTGGACCCGCCTCGCAGCGATAGAGGGCGCCGCCATTTCCCCGCTCTGACCACGCCCCCACATACAGCGTCACAACCCAGCGACCTGGGAGTCCAAGGCGCCGCTTCTCACATTTAAAGGGCCAGAACAGACCCAAAATGTCGCAGGGAGACCTCAAAGCCCCAGAGATAAATCTAAGCGACGAAGAAATAGCAAAACTCTCAGACGCACAGTTTAAAACACTGGTCATCAGCTTCCTCACAGATCTGGTTGATTATAGCCACAAATTAGAGAAACATATGAAGGCTAAATTAAGGGAAATGAATGGAATTCCACAGGAAACCCATAGAGATGAAAAGGAAACTGGGACTCAAATCAATGGAGTGGACCAGAAGAAAGCAAATAATGGCCAAACAGAAAAGAGTCAAGGAGCAAGAATTCAAAGAAATGAGGAGAGTCTTAGGAACCTCCAGGACATCTTTAAACGCTCCAACATCCGAATTATAGGGGTTCCAGAAGGGGGAAAGACACAACCACCAGTGGAAAACTTATTTGAACAAATAATAAAAAAGAATTTCCCCAATCTGGCAAAGGAAATAGACTTCCAAGAAATCCAAGAAGCCCAGAGAGTACCAAAAAGGTTGGACTCAAGAAGAAACACACCAAGGCATATCATAATTACATTAGCCAAGATTAAAATGAAGGAGAGAATCCTAGAAGCAGCAAGAGCTAAGGGGACAATCACCTACAAAGGAGTTCCCATCAGACTGTCAGCAGATTTCTCAAAAGAGACCTTACAGGCAAGAAGGGGCTGGAAAGAAATATTCCAAGTCATGAAATCTAAAGACCTACAACCAAGATTGCTCTATCCAGCAAAACTTTCATTTAGAATGGAAGGACAGATAAGGTGCTTCTCAGATAAGATCAAATTCAAGGAGTTCATCATCACCAAGCCCTTATTATATGAAACGTTAAAGGGACTTATCTAAGAAAAAGAAGTTAAAGAAACATGAACAGTGAAAGAACAACAAGCTCACAGTTATTAACAACCACACCTAAAACGAAAGCAAACTAAAAGAACAGCTAGATCAGGAGTGGAAATATAGAAATGAAGATCTAAAGGAGGGTTAGCAACAGGGGAGTGGGAGGAGGAGATGGGGGGAGAAGGTACAGAAAATAAGTAGCATAGACAGTAGATAGAAAATAGATGGGGGGCAAGAATAGCATGGGAAATATAGAATCTAAAGGACTTGAGACACATGGACATAAACTAAAGGGGGGTAATGGTGGGGATGGGGGGCAGGGTGGAGGGGAATGAAGGGGGGAATAGAACAACTGTAACAGCATAATCAATTTAAAAAAAATAGTAAGGATGTTCTCAAGCAAGTCACAAACAGTTCTGATAGGGCAAGATGTCCCATTCAAGGGGTTCCCACTGGCTATGTTGTGACTTTTTGAGAAGCAAAGGCTGAATAATAAATAGGGTTCATTGAAACAGATAAATGTATCAGTTAGTAACCAAAAAATCAGTTGGTTCATTGTTTGCAGTTAACCAAAAAAATTAGTTTCAAATGGCTCAAACAATAAGGAAAATTTATGTATTATTTCAAAAAAGAAGCTTATAAGATACGTTGGCTCTAGGGTTGTTAGTTCATGATTCAACAGCATCATCCAAAAACCAGGGTTTGTTTGTTCCTCTGTCAGCAATGTGCATAGACTCTATCAACAATAAATGTAGAAAAATACCTAAAAGGGTGTACCAGAGGGTCAACAGAGATTATTTCTAAGGAGTGGGGGGAGATGAGAAACTTTTGTTGTTGTTGTTGTTGTTTTTCATACTTCAATATTGTTTAAAGTTTTACAAAAGTGTGAGTAATTTCTATAATCTCACACTTTTAATCTTTTTTTATTTTGTGGATAATATATTACACTGTCAGCTGGGATGGCTCAATACTTCTTTTACCACCTCTTGGTGTCTGAGCTAAGAATGCCTGGCTCAGTTCCACCTGGAAGTCCACCACACATATTTGTTGCTGCTGGGATCATCTTAGGTACAGCTGACACACTTGGTTGCTCAAGCAGGCTGTCTTTCTACATTGGACTTGGACTTCCACCCCAGTATGTGCTGTTCATACCATTCCATAGTCCATCTCAAGTATAACTGTCTTCAGCATGCTCCACTGAACTGTGAGTGGCTTCTCAGAACACCAGGTATCTCTGGGGCTTCTGTGCTCAAATTTTTAATCTTTAAAAAAATTCAAAGCTACATATGCTGTCATAAAAGCATTAACTATAATCAATTGTGGCTGTAAGGGAAACCC